CTAGAGTGAGGAAAGGGCTGCGGCTGTCCCGGGTCTCCCCCAGGTGGTGCAGCAGGAGGCAGGGAGCCCGGAGTCTGAGGCTGGAGGGAGCGGTGAGAGGCTGGGCACTGGCAGGGGTTTTGTAACTGCACAGGTCTCTGTCCCCACTGTGGGTACCTGCTCCACACCGTCCCATCTTGAACTGTGGCACCTCTGGCCCATTCCTGAGTTCGAACAGGTGGCACCTGAGGTGACAGGAGCACCATACTACCAACTGCTGAGTGACCTTGGGCAAAGTCGCTCAGCCCCGCTGGCTTTTATCACTAACACCAGCGGCTCACAGTTTTGACTGCAACTCACAGTAAGAAACACACTGCACCTTGCTACTGGAAGATGAACGCACTGATACAGAGAGACACGGGGCGGGGGTGCTTCACAGAAGAGTGCCTGCCCTCTCTCTGGGTGATGCCAAGTGATTCTGCGGTTCCATTTCCTTTTTGAAAGTGCTGGCTCAAACTCTCTAAACTGAACCCATGATCCACTAGAAGGTAGAGACCTACAGTGTGGAAGCACTGCTCTCCTCTTTTGCCTGTGATAATCTCAGGCTAGAGGTTCAGAGGTTGGAGGATTTAAAGTGTTCACCGAGTCCAAATGCCACCACCTTGAGGCGCTGTGATCAAGGAAGATGGGGACTCATCCTACAGGTGGAGATGTCCAGGACAGAGCCCAGGCTGGCTGAGACCTTGCCCTCTGTAGTGCCATGGTCAGCTGTCTGGTCATCGGCAGGCTCTGTGGGTTGCTGCTTCCCTTGCAATTTCTATCAGAAATGAAGAAAAAAAATGCAGTCACTCTGATTCACCTCCAGGGGGTTGATTCCTGACGCAGAACCAGTCGGGAAATGTCAGGGTGATGCTGGAGGCAGCTGGCAAGAGGCCAGAGTGGCTTCTGGCTCCTCTGTGGCCCTAGGGATTGTTGCTGGTCACTGCTAGAGATTTGGCAGGGTGAGGGCAGGAAGGGGTAGATTACAGGCCCAGTGTGTCTGGGTTTCCTGGGCCACGGTGGGTGGGTGGGGGAGGTTCTGCAGATATCTCTGCTGAGGCTGAGGGGCTCCCCAATGCTCTAGGACCCATGCCAAGCTCCCTGTGCTTGGATGACCCCTGCCCTGACTCTCAGACTGCTCTGCGCCAACCTCTACACCCAGAACTGCCTCAAACTCCTGACCTGGGATGGGGTTTGAGTCCAAATGTTCAGTCCTTTATCTACATTTTCCAGTTCATGTCCTCAGGGCAACCTCATTTGGTGCTGAGGCATCCTCCTTATCAGAGATCTCCTAGGGGCTCAGAGAGAAGTCAGTTGCCCAGGGCAAGAGAACTGGTTTGTGGTGTGAGTAGGATTTGAACCCAGGTCTGCTTAGGTGTAAGGCTACTCTCTATCTGGCACTACTGCCAGCCCAGCCCTGTTCTGCTGAAAGCTGACCTGCCCACATCAGGTGTCCACATGGCTCCATGGAGCTGTAGGGTGGCCACAGGTGGTCACACCCTCATTTCTCTAGTATCAAATAATGAGGTTTTTTTTTTTTTTTTGCCTTTTTGGACAGGGCACAAATTGCCAGGGCTTGCCAGGAATTCCTGAGTTTCCCCTGGCTACCTGTGCCCAGCCTTGATCCTGGGAAACGCTCTCTGGCTACTGACTCCCCAACCCCTCAGGCCCACCTGGGAACTCTGTTCTCCTTTCCTAGGTGGAAACATTTAGGGCAGGGGTTAAGGCTGGTCTAGTTTTCAGAGAACTGAGATCAGGGCCAGAGAGGAAGGAGGAGAAGGGGAGGGAGGAGGGGGCTGGCTTGGGCAGTGGGGTTACTCTGTATCTGGGTCACTGGTCTTGGGGAATTCCCGATGCCCAGAGAACTGCTTACCTGCTGAGTAACGGCTGCTGGCTGCCCACGCAGGATGCCTGGCTGAGAGGGCAACTCCCTGCCACCCTGTCAGTAGCCACTGCCATGCAGCCCTCTCTTGAGTGCCCTGGGGCCCAGGAAAGAGACAGACAGGCAAGCAAGGGGCTGGCCCCCACCTCCACATCCTGGAGGGGGGCTCTGCAGGGGGCGGCTGGTGATTCAAGCCCCTCTGAGCTGAGCTATGTCCCCATCCTTTCAGATGGAGCCTGGAGGTGAATCAGCTCCTGGGGGTGGTGAGGCCGGTCAGCAGCTGCCCCAGCTCAGGCCTTGTGGAGGAGCACAAGGACGGCACCACACTGCCATGCCAACCCTACCTGCTCCTAAAGCTGGAGGCTGTGGACTGCACAGGTGTCCCTTCTTCCTCCCGTTTCTGCACTTAGCCCTGGAGGGTGCCAAAGTTTCCTCATCTGTAAAATGGTGACAAGATGCCTTCCTTCCTGGGGATATCAACACAATTCATGCTGGGATGTAGAAGGCTTGCTGGGTGCCTTGTACCACCCTGAACCCTGGGTGCTCCCAGAAATCCCCTGTGTAGCTGCCATCCTTCCCATTTCACAGATGAAGAAACAGGCCGGCAGCTGGCCACTTCCCCCAAAGATACACAGCTCACAACCGGCAGAGCCAAACCTCCAACGTGGTTATGAATGAGGCCAAAGTCCACATTTCAAACCACCAGCCTTCCACACCTCCTTTCCAGGAGAGATTTGGCATGCACAGCTTTTGGAAAATATAAAATGCTTTCAAAAAATACTTAGCATCTACTCTGGATATCACCCCAAACAGTTGCTGCTACGAGTCCAGATGAGTAGCAGACCCCATCCAAGCCCACAAAGATTGAGGAACAAGATAGTTATGGTGACTTAAAACAAAGGCCAGCAGCAGCATAAGTCCATCAGAGGAGATGGGGCTGAAGGGACTTCGAGAAGAGCCAACTCCTGCTCCCAAAGGGTGAGGTGTTGCTGCAATTGCTGGGGGTCATGCAAGCCAGAGGCCTGGATTCCAAATCGGCCTCTACTGCCAGCTCTTTGTGTAGCCTTAAGTGGCCTTGATTGAGTGTCTTTGCCTCCTGAACCTCAGTTTCCCCCGTGTGAATAAAAAGCAGCTGTGACATTCTAGGAGAGACCTGAGTATATTGGGTGAAAATTGGCAGAAAAAGAGCTGGTCTGACTACCTGTGCCAAAGGGCATATGACAGAAGCTGACCTGCTCGCTGCTTGGAGACAGGACGGTACTCCAGGCCCTGCCCAAACTGAGGGGGTTCCCATGTGGGCCCTCCTCACCCGGAGGCTGGTTGAATCCATAGCAGGCCCAGTCAGTAGGAGCAGGACAGGCTGCAGATGAAGTCACAGCTGGAAGGGGCCAGGCCGGGGCTGCTGCCACTCCAGGGTGGGGTCCAGGTCATGACCCTGGAAGCAGGCAGCCAATGAGGGAGGATGCCTTCCGTGAGGGAGCAGGGGGAAAACACATGTGTACACACACACACACACACACACACACACACACACACACGCACACAGAGCAGCAGCAGCAGCAAAGAGGGAGGAAAGAAAACAAACTCCGGCTGCAGCCACGTTGCAGGCTCTTCACGGACACTCGACTTCAAGACCTTGTCCGGCTTCTCCCCCAAGGCCCAGCGCAGGTGGTCCCCAGACATGGACAGGAGGGGGAGGCTGGGCCTGGGGTGCTGAGGAGCCCAGAACACTTGGGGAGCATGGACAAAGTCAGGTATTGTGAAAGGGAAAACTGAGGCACGGGAGAGAACCAGTCAGGGCTGGAGTTAGTGGGCCTGGAGCCACAGGGCAGTGTAAGGCTTGGAAGTCCCCTGAGAAGGATGTGGGGCCGACTTTTGGCACAAGGAGGGACAGGTGGTGGCTTCTAGGAGCATAGGAGCCCCTACTGGGAGGTTCAGATTACGGGGGCAGGGGATTGATAGATTGATGGCTGCCACAAGGCTGCTCTGGTCAGGTGGATTTGGCATCCAGGTTTAAGTGAGCCAGGCCGGGAGCGTGAGGGTGGGACCAGAGGCTGATCGGGAGTTCCTGCATTCTGAGTGGTCACATCAGTGAGCTGCAGTGTGCTAGGATGTGGGGCTGCTGAACCGGGAGGTGCACATTGACTGACCCCAGGGCAGGGGGACAGGAAGAGTAAGCAGCAGCTGGCGCCCTCTGCGGCACCCCAAGAAAGAGACATAGTGTTGGGGGAGTGCCAGACTGGCTCTCCTTCCTCCTCCTGCTGGGAAGTACCAGCTGGGAAGGGCAATTTTATCACTCCACATGAGAAGCTGTGCCAGGAGGCCATGGAGGAGCCTGGCTAGGGCATGGGGTGTGTGAAGGAGGGGACAACAGCAGCACAAGGGCTCATCTTGGCAGGACTGGGGGAGGAGTTGGGTAGGTCCAGGATATGGTAAGAGCCAGGAGCTGGGGGCATAGAGAATGGGTAAGAGGGTGGGCCAGGGTCAGGCAAGGCTGCAGGAGTTCCCTGGACTTGAAAAACTAATTCTCCATCCTGGGTCTTGGGCCCAGGTCAGACAGGAGAGTTGGGGTGGTGTCCCCAAGGTAATGAGACACCTCTTGGTATAGAGGGACCTGGTAGCTTTAGGGACAGCATGGCCCCAGATGTACTGTGTTGCTTTATTTTTCTTTAGTCTGCTTTTTATTGAGGAGGAGTCCCTCTGCTCTTTTTGCTCTGGTCCCCACCATTCCTTACTGCCCCTCAAGTGTTTGCCAATCTACTTGCCCGTGCTGGACACCAGAATGGCCTCAGAAACTCCAGAAGCACATTTGGAAGCCGCCATCATTTTCTAAGACTGACCTCAAGCAGGTTCTGGGGTGCCTGCTATTTCTGTTTCCCCAGCCACCGTTTGCTATCCCAAGGAAGAAACCTGGGTGCGATTTTGCCAAACATCCATTGGTCTCTGTTTCAGGTGACCCTTTTAGAATGGCAACGCTGATTCGCTTTTCTCAGAGCTCCTCCCCAGACTATCCCCCAAAAGCAGGTCACTGCCCTCCCCATACCTCCTAGCCCCTTCCCTAACCTGATATGGGTGTAGGCAGAGCAGGTGTACTGATGGCTGTCAGGGGCCTGACTTCCTGGGACCCTGGGTGATGGGTTCCCCTGGGAGCCCCTCTTTGGCCAGTGGCAATGGGCAGGTTGGAGAAGGCCACCTCTTAGGTGGCTTCCAGCGCCCACACTCAGTTCTGCTTTATTACTGTCTAAAGTCCACGCCAGGCCCCAGCCCCTCTTCCTGGAAGCTCCTTCTCAGCCAAACCTGCCTGTGTCCTCCCACTGACCCTTAAAGCCCCCATCAGGGACCACAGGCATCAGCCTCCACCTGCCTGTCCAGTCTTGCTACCTCCCCATACTCAGGTGAGTCAGGGCCATCTGGGCTGCCTCTGGTTGGAGGGACCCCCACTGAGGGCCTGGGGGCCCATCCCCACCAGGCCCACCTTCAAACAACGCCCAGGGCAAGCCTCTCAGGAAAACCACAAGGCTTTCGTGCTTTTGACGACTTCATTATAATTTTATCAATCAAATTCTTAGAAGAGGGAAAAAAATCTGCCCTCCCCACTCTCCTCCCTCACTTGTCCCACCCCCCTTCACTCTCACTTTCTTCCATTCATAATTTCCTATGATGCACCTCAAACAACTTCCTGGACCGGGGATCCCGGCTAAATATAGCTGTTTCTCTGTCTTACAACACAGGCTCCAGTATATAAATCAGGCAAATTCCCCATCTGAGCATGAACCTCTGAAAACAGCCGGCATCTCAGGTCTCCTCCAAGGCCCTCTGCAGTTCAGTCCATAATGAAGGTCTTGGCAGCAGGTAAATCCACCCGGCCCGCGCCGGCTTCCGCGTCCCCGCGTCGGGCGCGGCGGAGCTTGGGGCGCTGGGCGAGCACCCGCGGGCCGCCTCCCGCCGCAGACGCTCGGACACTTGGGGCGCCCGCGCAGCCCGCCAGGCCCGCCGGAGGCGCTGGGAGGCGACACATGGTCCGGGCTCCGCGCGCCCAGCCCTCCGGGCGGCAGGTTGGCGCTGAGCACGGCCCGGACAGCCTCCCTCCTCGCCCCACCGTCCTCCTGCGCTGCTCTTGTCTGTCTGCTTTCTCCAGGATTCACTCTCCCTCTTCTTTTTCTTTCTTTCTTTCCGCTTTCTCTTTTCCAACTGCGTCCCGGGCTGCTCCCTGGGAGGGGCGCGGGCGGCCGAGCAGCTTGCAAACTCCGGCTCGGGACGGGAGCAGGTGCTGCCTCCAGCTGCTAGCGCCTGGGAAGCGTGAGGTCTGCGCTAGGTGAGATGGGGGTGTGGGCCCTCTCCCCCCGAGTCGTCCTGACACCTCCACACGGCCCGGGGATGCTGGGAGGAAAAGGGGACCCCGGAGAAGTGAACTTGAGGCTCTCCTGTCCCCGCAGAGGATTTTGCCGGAGGGCCCCAGCCTCTCGGGTCGGCTGGTCTCAGTGCCTGGGACCCTCAGGCGCTTTCTGCTGGGGCCCGAAGAGGCCGGTCCGGGGTGCATGATGGTGAAGGGGTTCAGGCGCCCGGGGGGAGGGTGATCGGGACAGGCCCAGACAGTTCCCCGCTCTCCTGGCACCTTTCACTTTCCTCCCTCCCGGGCCCAGCTGCCCGCGACCTTTTTCCTTTTTTCTTTCCTGGTTGCACCATTTCCTCTCCGTTCCCAAAGCCAGGTGGTCCTTGCCCTAACCCAGGGCCTGGGACAAGGGACAGCAGACAAGAGGGAAAAGTGAATGGGTTTTGGAGAGGGAGGTGGGGCACTGGGAGTGAATGGTAATTTGGGGCTGTAAAGTGGGACTGGAAACGTTGGGGTGGAGTTGAGGGTCCCGGATAGGGAAGTGGCCACACTGGAAAGAACGGAGATGGTGGAGATGGGATGCGGATAGCAGAATTAGGGGCAATTGGCTCATGAAGCCAGAATTAAGTGGTGGGTTAGAGGAGAGTGTCAACAGAAGCCCCGCCCTTGTCCCCAGGGGGTCATTTGAGAGATTTGGGCTGAAATGGGCCGGTGAGTATGAGACAAGGCATCTGGACCATCCTGGAAGGTGGGAAGATAGGGATCTCCTCCTCCTGGGAAATGATGCCTCCCGGCCAGAGGGCAGGAAGCTTGGAATTTTCACCTTCCTGAAGAAAGGGGTTAGACAGTGGTGCTGGCCCAGCTTCCAGCTGGGGGAAGGCCTTCTTCCTGCATCCTTGCCCAGTCACTAATCCGGGAGAGAGCAGGGACAGGTAGGAAGGCAGAGAGAAGCAGAGCTAGAGATCTGCAGACAGACAGACAGACGGAGAACACAATGTAGGGAAAACGAGAAATGGCCAGAGAAGCCAGAGCAGGAGACAGAGGGCAGAATGGGAGAGTCCCCCCCCCCCCCGTGCACCCCTTGCTGACTCCCATGCAGTGTGCCATGCACCCCAAGCTGCCCTCCTGCTCATCTCTCCTTCTTTCTTGTTCCCAGGAGTCATGCCCCTGCTGCTGGTTCTGCACTGGAAACATGGGGCAGGAAGCCCCCTTCCCATCACCCCTGTCAACGCCACCTGTGCCACACGCCACCCATGTCCCAGCAACGTCATGAGCCAGATCAGGAACCAACTGGCACAGCTCAACAGCAGCGCCAATGCCCTCTTTATTCTCTATGTAAGTTACCCTGTGGGGTACCTGGGCAGGAAGGGCTTGCAAATGAGTAGCTGACCTTGGCTAGAAGAGAGCCCAGTGGAGCTGGAAGGAGGCAGTGAGAATAGGTTTGGTTACCCCACATCCAGATTCCACCCCTTCCTCCCACACCCCAGGCTCTAGGACTGGAGGCCGCTTTCGCAAGGTATCACCAGTGTGGGGCAGAGCTGGGATGAGGAGGAGACCTGGCCCTTCTAGCCATGTGAGAGATCAAAGGGGAGTGAGGCAGTGCGTGGAGCAGGAGACAAGGGGGCCTGCAGGTGTCAGGAGGGACGCCCAGGAAGAGGGAGAGTACGGTGGGTGAAAGTGCAAGTGTGTGTGGTGTACCTGCTGAAATGTCACCAGTGAGACGCCACATTTTCCTTTCCTTCCCTATATGGTCATGGCGATGACGGTGGCAACCGCTTACACGGTCTAGGTCAGTGGTGGCGAACCTGTGGCCCACGTGCTGCAGTGGGCTGTTGGTTATCATTGCTGTCTTTGAAGGGTTCTCCACTGCTAGTCTCCATCAGTGGTCTCCATTGCTTGATCACTAGCAAGTTTGGTCACACTTGTGATTACTTCCAGCTCTCACTACAATTCTGGATGCCTGTAGGGCAAGGAGTTGGATCTTCATGCTTTAGGTGGGGAAACAGAAGCTTGAGAGTTTGCCCCGGGCTGGTAGCAGGGCTGGAATGTCAACCTTTTGACTCCCTTGTCACCTCCTCTCTGCTCTGTTTCTCCTCAGTACACAGCCCAGGGGGAACCATTCCCCAACAACCTGGACAAACTTTGTGCTCCCAATGTGACGGACTTCCCACCTTTCCACGCCAATGGCACAGAGAAGGTCAAGCTGGTGGAGCTGTACCGCATCATTGCCTACCTTGGCGCTGCCTTGGGCAACATCACTCACGACCAGAAGCTCCTGAACCCCAATGCGCTCAGCCTTCATAGCAAGCTCAGTGTCACTGCAGATGTTATGCGGGGGCTCCTCAGCAACGTGCACTGCCGTCTGTGCAACAAGTACCATGTGGCACATGTGGACGTGACCTACGGCCCTGACACTTCAGACAAGGATGTCTTCCAGAAGAAGAAGCTGGGATGTCAGCTCTTGGGGAAGTACAAGCAGGTCATTGGTGTAGTGACTCAGGCCTTCTAGACAGGAACTCTTGAAGTGCGTCGCAGACTGAGGGATCTCCGGAGCAGGATCCAGATTGGGGGATTCTCAAAATGTGGCTGGGGCCCAGGACATCATTTATGCCAAATGGGGGCTGCTGGCAGGCCCCAAGGGGTTCCTAGCATGTCAGAGCCGCTATACAGCACTGACCCGAAGAGGAGCCCTTCCGGTAACCAGGGTGTCACACTGGGGAGGGAAGTGTAGGCAGCGTTTCTGCTCCCACTTGTCCCCTCAGCCCTTGCTCAAACCGCACAAGTTATCTATAGCAGCCCTGATCATAGGGCAAGTCAGTGAGGGTCAGGGGCTCGCCGGCTCCCAGTGGAATGACTGCCGTTTGTGCCTTTGCTTTTCCTAGACTTTGGAAAGCCTAGATGGGATGTGGGCAGGCCAGAGAGGCAGGGGTCCAGAAGAACTCCTTGTCCCTTAGAAATTTAGTGGGTAGAAGATAGAGAAGGGGTGGGATGCTGTGTTCTTTTGAACATGATCAGAAAGCTTAGGCCCAGGTATTGTTGGGTAGACTGTCATTGGTGTTGAGGCTCTCAAGGAGGCAGGGAGGCCACCTTCAAGCCTAGGAAGGCAGATGCTAGAAGGAAGAGAGGCCCTGAAGCCTTGTTCCTCTTCCTCTTCTCTGCACTCTTTTCCTACAGCCTGGCATGGCCAGGATCTGGTAGCTGGATCTGGAATAGGGTACACGGAGGTGGGTAGGGGCAAGTTGCAGAGACAAATAAGGAACTTAGAGGGGACCCAGAATTTTCCTCTTGGGGACAGAAGGGTACAGGTGGCTCTGAATAGCAGCTCATGTTGGAGGCCTGTGGAGGCCCTGTGAAGTCACACAAAGGTACTTGAGGGGGACCAGAGACTTTCTTGGGTCCCTAGAGCAAGGGGTCACAGAACTTGAGGTCAGGGTCTCAGAGAAGCCTGAGATCCAAGAGTGCTGTGTGTCTGGCCCAGCACAATTATCTATTTATTATGATGTCCTATTTATGTTAACTTATTGGTGCTTTAAATGGTAAAGTTAATCCCTTCCCCTGCTCCCTACCTAGCAGGGAACCAGAGCTGAACCTCTTTGCAGGGCCTGGTCTATTACAGGTGGAATTAGCCTTATGGATGAAGCTCAGAGAAGGGTCAGGGTTGGAGAGATCTGGCTAGCGTCCCTGTTCCCCTCCCTCTGAGTTTGCTTTGGAGGTGTCAGGAATAGGCAGCAGGGGCTGGACCAGTTTGTATGTGAGGGCTTTGTTTTCTTCCAGGCTTTAGGACACTCTTTCCCACTGTGCTCTCCAGCACCCCTAGAATTGTGCTGTGTTGTTACCATTCACTATGCAAATGAATGGCACTGGGCAGTGGGCAAGGTTGCTCCCTTGTCTTCCCCAGTGAAGGGTCTTTGTCACATAATGGGAATGAGCCTGACCCAACACCTGGCATACTCTTGCATGGTGGGGAGGCTCCTTGGGTGGCTTGAACACTCACCGAGCAAGTGCACAGGATGTTGGGGCAGTGTATGGACTGAGCAGCTGCTCCGGTGCTCTGGAGCAGGGAAAGTGAGACCTGAGATGCTTGGGACACAGACCAGGAAGCTGTGGTTCCTGCCACCCCGCCTCCTTCCCATTCCCACCCATGTCTGGGTTCTCGGGCATGGAACTCGATCTGCTCTCTTCCTATATGTTGGGGCCAGGTGAGCAGAGAAACACTCTTGGGCCTGGGAGCAAGAGAGGAAGAGAGGCAGCCAAGCTGGGGCAGCTGCTGAGAGCAGCATTCTGGCTGCTTCTCAAGCCCTGAGCAGGCAGCAGCCCAGCCACAAAATCACGGTACTGATGATTGTACTTCACACTCACTTTGCACCTTTCTCTCTTATTCTCTAAGCACTTTACCGGGATGGCAGGTGGGCACCAGTGGGCCGCCTGAGGTCTGGGACAGGGAGGTTAGGAGTGTATCCCAATGGTGTGACTAAGATGTGGCATGTGTAGCAGAGGAGGCCACAGCAGTTGTGCCTCTTCCAGTGTAGTTTCCATTTGGCTCACATCCTTGTCCAGGATCACAGTCTTGCCACCCTCCTATTTCCCTGCTCCTTTGGGCATGTCTTGGGAATGGCTGCATTTTCCAAGCTGAGCAGCCATCATCCCATCTCCCGTGGACATGGATTCCCTGGGCTGGATTCCCTGGCAGCCTTGGAGGGCTCAGGAACCAAACAGAATCTCCTCCTCCCTGCCTGCACAACCCCTGGCTCCCTGACACTCTGCCCAGCCTGGACTCTGCCTGAAGGACTCAATCCTCAGTGTTCTTTCTAGATCTAATTCCAGCAGGTCAACGCCCACTTTGCACACTATCATTGAATTATGGAGCCTTTGTGTGAACAGCTTTGGGGGGGAGTAAATTGTACATTTCCATGTTTTTGCCTACTGGTATTGACCCCCTCCTGGCATGATGGGCTAGAGGACGAAGGACAGGTTTTCTGCAGAGGAAGGGGTAGACAGTCATTTTCATTTTGCAGTTTATCAAGAAAGAAGTATGGGGGCCCTTATTTATTATTTAAAAATTTAAACCACAAAAGCACTGCTAGTTTACCGGTCTCTCCTCATCTTCCGTATCCCTAACTCTGATTAAATCAGTCCAGCCCTGATTTGCTGAGTCTCCAGAGCAGACTTAGCCGGTGGGGCTGGAGCCTCAGAATCCATTGAGGCAGCAAGTTCCTCTCAGACAGTACAGATTAATCTCTAGCCCCCACACCCAGCCCAGCTACCTGGGCTGCATCTTCCATTCTCACTGCTAGCTCAGTGGGCCCACATGGGGCCTCAGATGTTTCCCTCCTTCCTTTCTACTGGAAAGGACTTGGCCTTGGGTGATAAATTCCTCTTTGATGAATGTACCCTATGGGAATGTTTCATAAAGACAGATTATTTTAATTTATTCAATGTCATATTTAAAATATTTATTTTTTATACTGAAGGAATACTTTTTTTAAGAAAAAAGAGAAATTAATAAAGAATCTGCTCTTGGCAAGTACTCTGGAGTGTATTGATGTGGGGAGACAGCAGGGGTGGGGACCAGCTTGGTCTTGGTTGTCCAGCCGGGTGGGACTCCATTGGATAAAGGACAGGAGAGTGGGAAGAGAGGGGTGCCTCCACTGGCCAAGGGTTCTGGCACTGACAGGGGTCAGTGGGTGGGATTTTGGCCCAGGCAGAAAGTAGATGATGTCCAGATCATGGGATGCCACCAAAGAAGGGGACGAATTGCTCATCTGTGGGGAGGGGTGTTCTTTGGTTACTCACTGAACTCTCACAGAACCACCATTGATGTATTCCCACTTAACAGAGGAGGAAACAGGCGCAGAGGGATGAAAGCAAATGACCAGGGCCATCTGAAATATTTAGGAACAATTAGGTTAATCTCTTTAACTCCAAATCTCATATTTTTTCTTCTATGTGAACCTTAGCGACTTAGAAAGTACCAGCTGCAGGTGTTTCTCTCATCAAGAAATGGTCATTGAGTATCTAGAGGGATTTAAGAAGCATGGGCCCAAAGGCTCTGGGGAAAGAAGAAGAAGGGTCCGACCTGGGCTCACTCAGGCTGCAGTCAGAGTTGCCTTGCTACCCTGATGACTTCTCAGTTGGTCTGTCCTGGGCCCGTGCAACTCTCACAGCGGCCCTGCTACATTCCTCCTGCCTTAAACTTGGGGACACAATTTTCATAGCAACCTTCTTCCTGGCCTGCTGGGACCTTTTTATTGGAGGAGCAGATCATGTACAAACTGGGTAGTCACAGACAGAGGCCTGGAGTAGCCCCACTGTCTCCCCAGGGTTCTCTCCGGGGTTGCAATCTGGGCTTCCCAGATTGTGGCGATCTGGGCAGGATTTCTTAGAATCACCAACTCATTCATGCATTTATGTTTCCTGGCATCAATCATTGCCTTCTGGAGGCTCAAAGTTGAAACTGGTAGTGGCGACAATGAATGCCCCCTCGAGGAAAACATGGGTGATGGACGACGTTCCTGGGAAGCAGGGAGGTCAAAGTAGGAGATTATTCACTCTGGAATCAACTGGGGACTTAGCAGCCTGCTCTCTGTACAGTGAAGGGCTGGCCTGTGACATGGTGCAACATTGGCCTCACCTAAAAGCAGTTGAAAAGTGCATTCTTGGCTTCACCGACCACCCTTTATCCAGTCACTCAGACTCTGGTCTTTTTTTTTTTTTAATTTTATTTAAGGAGAAAAAAAAAAACCAGAAAAAGGGTACAAGTTATACAGAATTTCAGAAAAAATAAACAGTAGGAAATCACTAGTTAATTACATATTGTTATCTTAGTCAGACTCTGGTCTTAAGCAAGATTCCAAACTGTTTGTATGCAGGATGAGACTAGTGGGTCTTCCCTGCCATATCATTTCATGCTTCTCCAGAGGCCATAGACCAAGTGTAAATCTCTATGGTAGTGCAGACACCATTGGGAAGGAAGATTTGAGGGTCCAGAACTAGTTCTGGGTCTTCTCCCGGAAGGCAGTCCCAGGGTTCCTTGCCCTCCTGCTGGATGAGTCCTTCAGGCAGGCCGCACCTGCTAATATACCCTTGTAGTTCCCAGGGGTGAAGATATCATTTCCACTGCCCAAGGTAAGCAAGATTAAAGCTTTTCTAAAGGAACCTTTAGTAGGAGACTACAGGAAAACAAAAAAAGTGCCAAAGTGCAGAAAGGGAGGGAAGGCCAGGGATGGTGGATAGATGGCCCAGGTTTCTGATGTTCTCCACCAGACAGCGGATCCTACCCTGGCCAGAAAGAACAATACACCATTAATAACCCATTAATGGGATAGAGCTCTTACCTGGCTCTATCACTGCTCAGGCCAGCCCGGGACCCATTCTATAAGCTCAGCTCATTTTTCTGTGAAATTGTAAGAGCAGTCAGTAGTGAATGTCACTCTACTACCAAAATAACCAGAGAGTTGGGGTAGGAACGCTGGGTGAATTTTGTAGCGCTTGGGACCCAGTCTATCCATTCTCAGGTTGAGGGAGATGTGAACTAGAATGAATCTCAGAGACCTGGTATCCTTTTCACAGGTGATATAAGGGGTTACTCTCTCCCAAGAAACCAGAAGGAAGGGTTTGGGTAGGCCACTGTTAGGTTGATAATCAGGATGTGGCGTGAATAAAGCGACAAACTTTCCAGGAGATTGCTCCCTTGTGGGCAATCTGAGACCAGAGGACACTTAGGTACAGAGGCTTTGTAACTTTAGGCATGAGGTGGACGTGTGGGACCAATCTAGGAGAATAATTACCCACCGCTCTCGTCCATAGGTTCAGTGAGATGCTGCATTTTACAGTTGACAGAGCATTTTCTCACTCAGCATTAAATCCTCCCGATCATTCTGTGAGGATAGGGCTACATATTCACTCTACTTTACAGATGAGAAAACTGAGGGTGGACTGGGACTAGGTGTGTGTGTATGTGTGTGTACGTAGTATACATGCATGCACGTATGCACGTGTGAGGGCTGGGAATAGAACCCAGGACCTTGCTCATGCTAAGTACATGGTGACACACTGAGCTCTGCCCCAATGTCTGTCTTGATCAGTCTGATCAAGACTGATAAGGGCTTCTCTGCAGCAGACTTTATACCAAGAGGCTCAAGGAGAAGAATCTCCCAAGTAAATTCCTAAATTTGAAGATGATCTGAAGGAGGAATTTATTTACTACACCAGAGCGACCATGTTGCAATACACTTGAATGTCACAGAGGAAATAAGGTACATTTATTTCCTAATTTAAAGTCCTCTTTGTTTTCAATAGTGTTTAAGGCAGCTTATAACAGAAGGTACATAATAAAAATACCAGTAAAAGAGATAGAGAATCATCATCAGAGAAGATATAAACAGAATGAGAAAATAAGACCACAAAAAGAAAAAAAAACATAAATATTTCAGATCACAAGGGGCCATGTAATTACCATGGCTGAACTTCAAAGTTGCCTCTGAGATTCCTGGCAGCTAAAGGAAAAAGGGAAATGTTATCTTATTATGTGATTCTCCTAATTAGAAAGGAAGAGGCACAGGGAAAGTAGAGCCTTGGACTGGGGCTGGGTCCCCAAGGGAATTTTCTTCTGAAACCATGGTACGCAGTGAGTGGCATGATGGGCCCCACTTTTAGCAGTGTGTGGATTTGGGGATGGGGGAGCTGTTTCTGCAACAGTCTTTGCAAAAGCTAGAGTCTAACCCAGTGAATGCAGCTCCATGAAGCAGTTTCTACCAGCAGCCAGTCTGACATAGGCACAAAATTGAGCTTCGGCCCACCTGGGGTTGGACTTTTGGTCTTGAAAGTGTGGTAGGGGCTGCATGTGGCTCAGAAGATTTTATCTACAGTTTTAGAAAATGGTGGTGGGGATTGAACCCAAGGCCTTTTCAGTGAGCTACTTCACTAGCCCGCCTTTTTTATTTTTCATTTTGAGACAGGGTCTTGGTAAGTTATTAGGTTGCCCAGACTGGACTCAAACCAGGGATCCTCCTGCCTCAGCCCCCCAGAGTGCTGGGATTAGCAGTATGCACCACCATGTCTGACATATAATGTACCCATGAAAGGGAAATCAGATGACTTCTCTCCTAGAAGAATTTGAAAGCTGAAAGAGGGATGCCGGGTGGTCCTGAGGCATGCTGGGAGGAAGGCTTGGAAGCATGTACCATGTCTGACGAGGGGTTTGGGGGTTGATGGCTTTGAGTCTCTGCTCCTGTCTCCCTCTTGGTCTTTTGGGTACTGTTGGACCCAGATGGAAAGTCTTCGGTGGGCCACTGACTATAGCATCCAAGACACTTCCGGCATCTCTTCCTGCCCTTGCAGAGGGCTCAGCTTGAATCTGTCCCTTTGACTTGAGGGGGAGCCCCACCCTGCTTTGGCCTCACTTCAGGAGGCAAATATTTCATTTATGAGGACGTGGCCAAGCGCCGCCCACTGAGGCAGCCTCAATGACCAGGCAGGCGTCCGTTGGGATGCAGAGGGAGAGCCGCAGACAGCCATGGGATGGGGACTGAGCGGGGGCTAAGCGAGCAGACTGGCCTTCTCTGCTGGCTGAGAGCAAAACCGCTGGAGGAGAGGAAAATATGTGAGGCATTTTTGTAATTCCAGGCGGCGTGGTCCAGCTCCTGCCCAGACGGTCAATGAATCAAAGCCGGGAAGGCTCTACCTGTCAGCAGGCGCTCTTCTGGCCCTGTCCCCCAGGCTCCACGCCTCTGTGCCCAGTAGGCCAGCTGGAACCCTCTCAGCTCCCAGGGTGAGAGTATGTCATAGGCGAGAGCCAGACGCGGGCAGCTCATGGGCTTAGAATGTTGTGTCCCCTGTCTGCTCCTGCTCTTGTCCTGTCTCATTGAGCTGCGTCTCCAGTATCCCTGTTATGTATTGGCTTGAATGTTGACCTCCAAAGGATATGACAGGTCCTAATCCCCAGAACTTGAGAACTTGACCTTATTTTGGAAAAGGAACCTTTGCAGATGTCATTAAGTATTTCAAAAGGAGATCGTCTTGGATTATCCAAGGTGAGCTCTAAGACCAACGACAGGTGTCCTTAGGAGAGATTACCAGGGGGACAGGAGAAAGATCAAGTACAGGTGGAGACGGCCGAAGCAGCCACGAGCCAACGAATGCCCGGGCCATCAGAAGCCGGCACAGGCCAGGAAGAATTCTCTAGAGCCTCTGGGAGAACCTGGTTTTGTCTACACCAATACTTTAGACTGCTAGCCTCCAGAGCAGGGGTACTCTGTGAGCAGTGGTCTCCAGTAAAGAGCCCAGTTAGTGGTACTGTGTCATGGCAGCCTGACGATGCTGCTATGGTTTGGATAGCTGTCCCCCAAATGCCTGGATGTTAAAGACTTGATTGCTGTCCTGTGGTGCTACTAGGAGGTGGTGGCACCTTTAAAAGACAAAATCTAGTGAGAGGTCTTAGGCGACTGGGGTGCTCTCAAGGGGATTGTGGGAGTCCTGTCCAGTCTTACTTCTTTACCATGATGTGAGCATGGTGCCTCTTTACCTCTT